ATGTCAATCTATCTATCTATCTATCTATCTATCTATCTATCTATCTATCTATCTATCGTATGTTCATATCTATCTATCTATCTATCTATCTATCTATCTTCTGTTCATATCTATCTATCTATCTATCTATCTATCTATCTATCTATCTATCTATCTATCTATCTTCTGTTCATATCTATCTTATATTTGTCTCTTGATATATTTCCCAAGTGAAATTAAAAACAATGTTTTGTCAATAGATTATGAAAACCTTAGAAAATATTGTTATTTTCAAATTTTCCCGGACACTCGGAAAAGGATCCAAACTGTAAAAACTAATAAAAATATCTTCAAGGAATATATTTTGTTTTTCTTCAGCCAAACAAACATGTATTCTTTTGAACTTTCCTAGCCTTTCCTGTCGTTCTGTTTTTATTAAATTTCTCGCCTTTAAACAGGTTAAATTTTAGTAATTTTAAGTGACCATGAGATAAAAATTACCCCAAAGAATACATGTTTGTTTGGCTGAAGATAAACAAAATATATTCCTTGAAGATTTTTTTTTTTTATGATTTTTACACTTTGGATCCTTTTCCGTGTTTCCCCGGGAGAATTTGAAAATTACAATATTTTCTAGGGGTTTTCGCCTTTCATAATCTATTGACAAGGAATTGTTTTTAATTTCAGTTGGGAAATATATAAAAAAAATATTAGATAGATAGATAGATAGATAGATAGATATGAACAGACGATAGATAGATATACTATAAACATTAAGAACAACATTGTACTTGAAGTTAACTGGTAGAACCTGTGTCTCTATGACGACGTGTCAAATGCAGGCAGGTTTAATAGGTGGTTGATCCCTCAGGAGACGAGGGACTTTTCCAAGTCGTTATATCTTTTAAGTTGATGTATATAGACGAGTTCTATGGCATTTCTCGCATTTGGGTCACTCTTCCGGCTTCTTGGATTACAGTCAACATTGAAGTTCAAGTCCCTATGCAGTATTGATCTAAATATTTACAATCTATCTATCTATCTATCTATCTATCTATCTATCTATCTATCTATCTATCTATCTATGCCATGTATATACGTAAGAAAGAACACGACAACCAGACTGTGAAAAAGGCATATTATTCTATGTTTATTATAATTTATTTTTGTCAAAATGGCGGTTTTTTTTTTCTCTTGGTGTCACTGCTGTCTTGAAGTCTTTCGTGATTATTGTTTTAGAAAGATATTTAATTTTATTTCTTTGTTACGATCATGCCTCTCCACAACGTCCAACTCTTTGTAACCTGCATCTTTTTACCGTCCAAGCCACACCTCGTTACTCCATCGATTCACACAAGCCCCTAAGGCAGGTGACCCGCTCTCTCTACCTGTATACATTTTGCCTTCCACATACCTTGTACCTTAATTTCATTTCTTCTTTATGATCCGTGTGACATCAGGACGTAAGCGATCATGGCTCTCCACAATTTCCTCTCTATTGTAGCGCTTAATAATTTTTTATTTGGTATTTCGCAGACCTCTTTCGCCATCGAATTACTCAAGTCCACTAAATGAACAGGGATTAAGAAAAACAGAAAGTAACGATTGACACTACATTTAAACCTTTGAAGCTCAATGTTAACTGGGATGCAAGAAGCCGGAAGAGTGGCCCACATCCGAGAAATGCGATAGAACTCTTCCCTATACATCAACTTAAAAGATATAACAACTTGGAAAAGACCCTCGTCTCCTGTGGGATCAACCACATATTGAACCTGCCTGCAGTTGACACGTCGTCATAGAGACACAGGTTCTATCAGTTAACATCCTTTGACGAATAAATCTGGTGAACAACATGTCTGAGAACAGGGGCATCTCATCAAATCGATTTGGAAGGGTAGGCCTCTCCCGCCTATGGGCGAAACAAACCAGGCTTGAGTCTGCAACAAAATTAGGAGAAACTCTCCTGGTTCTTCAATTGGAAAGACGAGCCACGATTTACCTTTTAAGAAGAATTAAGAGAAATCTTATTTTAGCAGCAATTTAATTTACCCCATTTTGTTTTTTTTTTAATACAGAAAAGCAAGACAAAGAAAATAAAGACAAATTAAACATAAGCGCACGTGTCTTTCATTCTTTTATTTTCATTTAAAAGAAAACCTAACAAAAGAAGAATTTTAAAAAAAGAACACCCCCCCTCTATCATTCAACCACCAGAAACGAAAACTAATTTACCGCCATTTTTCCCACTCCCAACATCATCCACGCATATTTTAATTATTGGCAAAGTTTTACATTCTCAACCGGCAAACATTACTATTTTACACAATTGCAAATTTAAGAAAAACTGGAATGTTATTTCTAGATTACTCATTGCAAAGCGACTTCGTCATCCGCTTCTTTTTTTCTATTCTTTTCCTGACAAATTGTTTTTAAACATTAGCTTATTATTTTTTATGCTAATATTCCTATATATTCTTTTTATCTAAAATATACTATTATATCCTAATATATATTATACAGGGTGTGCAAAAGTGGCATTAGTCCTGGGTATGTCCATAAACTACACCTGACAGCAATATCTCTGATTGAGACATTGAAGGCTTTTAGGAGAGTGAAGCCAACTCATAACGGCTTTTCTTTCCATAAGCCGGGGTGGTAGCACCTTTTAGGGTTTTAGTTATGGGCAAATATTGAACCGAGAAACAAAAATGAAAACAGTGGAAAAACATATTTTTATATTAAAAATATCAGCAATATATTCTTTTATAAAAATGACCAACAATAAATTTTTTATAATAAAATGACCAATAATACATTTTATAATAAAATGACCAACAATAATTTTTTATAGTAAAATGGCAATACCTTTTATAGCAAATTTGAAGCCATGGAATAAATCCTCAAAAAATAAATTGCTATGGTTAATGTCATTTCTTGTAAGGAGAAATAAATGTTCACGTCTCGTTTGATTTTCTAAAATTATTTGGTGAAAAGTAATCATAAATAAGCCGAGTAATCATAATTTAATCATGAAATAAAGTCATTCCCTTGAATTAAGTTTGGATTTTCATATTTAGAATTCGGCATTAAATAACCCATAAGAGCTGATATACTAAGCAAAAACAAATAGGGAATGCAACCCCTTGAACAGTCCTCGTTACGCTTTTCTCCAAATGGCTTTTTTAGTCCTCATGTATATGAGCGAGCTTGCCTTGGTACCCTAGGCTTCTGACTTGTACGATGTTTCTGGCCCAAGGAGCTCTCGGCGGACGATACACGTACAGTAGGAGTATCACCCCTGAATCTTTCCGGGGTTATTTGTCCCCTCATTAAAAATGCTGGGGGTAACCGTTTTCTAAATTTTGGCGTTATCCGAACCTTCTAGTAATTTCGAAGAAGGCTATCCTATCATCAGGTATATAATATCGGGTTTATTGTACTTCCATTTTGTGAATGGTTTCTGGACCGTGCAAACGTCCCCGGTGGGGCCTCTCGATGCCATGATAACGGGCACTGTTACAGCAGTATCTCCGGGCGAGTCAACCAAGGATATTTGTGGGTGTTTGTTTCCACCGCTGACTAATCATCCAGCAAACCACCCAACCAACGAACCACCCACCCAATCAACCAATTACCCAACCAACCAACCAACCAACCAACAAACTACCCTACCAACCACCCAAAAAACCATCCAAACAACCACCCGACCACCCAACCACCCAACAAACCACCCAAACAACCACCCAACCAAACAACCACCCAACCACCCAACCAACCACCCAGCCAAACAACCAACCACCCAACCAAACAACCACCCAACCAACCAAACAACCACCCAGCCAACCAACCAACCGCCTAACCAAACAACCACCCAACCACCCAACCAACCACCCAGCCAAACAACCAACCACCCAACCAACCAACCACCCAACCACCCAACCAACCACCCAGCCAAACAACCAACCACTAAACCAAGCAACCACCCAATTAACCAACCACCCAACCAATCATCCAACCAAACAACCACCCAATTACCCAACCAACCAAAATAATCATGAAAGCAAACAAATTTAAAACGAACTAGCAAACCCTACGTCAAAATAAAAAAAGAAGAAAAAAAAAAGAAAAGAAAGTAGACCCCAACTATAGCATCTGTTACCCCAATGTGAGGGGTCGACGTTCCAACTTCTTCATTCTAAACCTGACCGCCTGTTTCTGTCTGAAGCAAGTATCAATGCCTCAACCCCACTGCTGGAACTCACTATCCCGGGCTACACACCTATTCTAAAAGGAAACCACCACCTAAATCGACTACAGTAACGGATTCGGTACATCAGGGACGGATTTCCCTGTGATAGGGACACACACAAAAAAACACACAAGGCGGGAGTGCTACTAGCACGCAAGGGGTTCCTGAGAGTGGGAGCAAGAGTAAAGAGACGTGATAAGAAAAAGGATGAAGGACTGAGAATAGATCAAGGCTTCAGAAGATGTCGATTGACATTACATTTGAATAATTGAAGATTATAGCTATCAGGGAAGGAAGTAAGTGGAAGGGAGTTCCACAGACGGGAAGTGCGAGACATGACGATATTGGAGTAGAAGAGACGGCTACATTTAACTGTTTCGACTGTAACTGAGATGCCAACCTAGTAGGAGGTTTAAAATCATGCAGAACTAGCGAAAGTAGCTCGTCGGAGCAGTTACCCTGAAAGTATTTGTAGAGAAGACAGAGGGTGGCGACTGTACGTCTGTGAGAGAGCCACTGTAAACGAGATGCAGATCAGGGTCAATCAATTTGCATATCCCTCACTGGATTTTGTCGAGGACCTTAAGATGAACATCGGGGGCTCCAGACCATATATGGCAGCAGTATTCCATTCAAGGGCGATTGGTTGTTTTATAGATTTGAAGGATAGACTCGGGGGGGGGACTTTCTGACGTGACACAGAGAACCAAATTACCTTGCGGTAAATGAAACTATCAATTCAATGTATTTGTTCCATCTCAGGTCAGCGGACCGTGTGAGACTAAGCAGTTGCAGAGAGGTGCTCTCGTGGAAGTGAGCATCAGACATTCTAATAGGAGGTGGGGAGGGTTCTCTGTGGTGGGTAAAAGAGAGCAGCTTGTTTTTGAGGCATTAAAATTAACCAGCCATTTCTTGCCCCACTCAACAACAGATATATTATTTATATACGAGATCTAATCAATAACTACGAAACTGGTGCTATAAAAAGAAAACTACAACACATATCAATTCTGCATTTAATCACCTTTGTGTAATTTAATTGAAACAAAGCGAATAATTCCGTTATTGCTTATATTTCTGAGATTAGGGATTATGTACATGATTTACATTATTCGGACTATTGTCCTCATCTTTGTCGCCATATCGGCCTTCTTCAGGTGGTTGGAATGTAGAACTGAACCCTTTATTTCGCTCACTGGGGTAGACTGTTCTAGTTCCACGTGCCAAACTCTTTGGGTCCGGTCACTGGATCTAACTAACACCTTTATCCACTAGGCCATGTGTCCTTGAGAACATCTGGGTATGAATTTCTGGGTATTATAAACCTAATATCTTCAGCAACCATTTTTACCAGTGGTCATATTGCAAGTTTTGCTGATATCATGCATGTTTTTACCAGAGCTCATATTGCAACATTGTTGTTATCATTGCTTTTCTCTGGCACTCCTTATTACTGGTTCCTATATTGTATTGATTTCTATGCTTGGTCGGCTCGGAAGATTTTTGTGGCCTAGCATATGTGCTGATTCCTTAAGTTTACGAATTTTCCAATGGTGTTCCTTGTCAATGATTTCAACATGATCCCACAGAGGGCGGTGATCTCCCTTCTCTCTCCATATGTGGTCAGCCATGCCTTATTTTTCTACTTCCCCTCGTGTTACAGCTTTCTGGTGTTCTTGAAGCCTTACCTTGAGGGGGGCGGGATGTCTCTCCTTTATATTCCTTTCCGCAGCTGCATGGGATAGAGTACACACAGTCTTTAGTCGTGTTCTTCTTTATGGGGGGAAGCGGGGGTCTTACTCGGGAGAGATATCTGCGACGTGTCGTCAAGCTTTTGAAGTTTGTCCTGATGTTATATGGACCGCAGATCCTTTGTATTTTCTCGGATAACCCCTTCACATAAAGCAGGCAGACTGTTTTCTGAGTGTTGTTGTCCTCCTCTTGTATCCGCCTATCCCAGTTTTTTGGGGGCTGCTGCCGTGTACCCAGGGTAGTTGTTACATTGTAGGGTACTACTTATACTGACCAATTCTTTATCTAATGTCTCTGGGTCACCACTTATGACTTTTGCTCGGTGTTGTAAGCAACGGACGATCCCTTTCTTTTCGCTGTATGGATGGTGGGAGTTGAAATTGAGGTACTGTCCGGTGAATGTCGGTTTACGGTATACGGATGTCTTGAACTCATGCTCTGTTCGAGATATTAGAACATCCAGGAATGAGAGTGTGTTTTTACTCTCTTTCTCCATTGTGAACTGTATCGAAGGTCTTATTGAGTTCACATGGTCCAGTAGAACCTGAATATCTTCCTGGTGTGGCCAGAGTATGGAGGTGTTATCTACGTACCTTAACCATAGTGTTGGCTTTAGAGATATAGATTCTAATGCCATCTCCTCAAAGTATTCCATGTAAATATTGGCGAATATCTGATCCGACCAAGCATAGAAATAAATATAATATGGGAACCAGTAATAAGGAGTGCCAGAGAAAAGCAATGATAACAACAATGTTGCAATATGAGCTCTGGTAAAAACATGTAATGATAACAGCAAAATTGCAATATGAGCCCTGGGAAAAATGGTTGCTGAAGACATTAGGTTTATAATACCCAGAAATTCATACCCAGATGTCCTCAAGGACACATGGCCTAGTGGATAAAGGTGTTGGTTAGATCCAGTGACAGGACCCAAGGCAGTTAAGGCAGTGGAGAACTTACAAGTGGAGAATTTTCAGAGGGAAATTAGCAGGACATAACTGATAACTGATAACTGACATCCATCAGACATGCCACGTGGAACTAGAACAGTGAGCGAAATAAAGGGTTCAGTTCGAAATTCCAACCACCTGAAGAAGGCCGGAACGTACAACGGCCGAAACGTTGTGATAAATATGGCGACAAAGATGAGGACAATAGTCCGAATAATGTAAATAATTCCATTATTATTTACTTTTTTTCGTTTTATTCCAATGAAACATAACCTAGTGCACATGTTAGTACTTCGTATGTCCATTCCACAAAAATCGTTCCTTGCAGATTGACCAGAGATTTTCGATTGGATTTAAATCAGGGAGTTTCCGGGACAGTGTATAGGACTTTGATTTGCTCACTGATAAAGCTTGCCAGTGTGTTCGTGCAATGTTACAATTTTCGTACGCTTTCTTGGAGTAAGTTCCATTGCAGACAATGGCCGTCGGACAACTAATCGACAATCTAGACAATAGTGTTTGAGTGTGATAAAAATACGATGCAATCTCGGATGACACAATATT